TCATCACCCGATCCGACCATAGGAGATCGGTGAGACTTAACCGAATCTTGTAAGGCACCCACAGCCAGGCCTCTACCACAAAAGCATGATGGCTGGGTGGATTAGGATAACCGAACACTGCGGGGGTTTCAATGGAGGAGTCTTTGGCCTCTTTGGGTCTCAGTCTCACCATTTTGCATTTTTGTTTTCGGTTTTCAGTTGGTTTTTTTTTTTTTTGGTTTTTGGTTACTTTCACAACGATTTCCGTTTGGCAAATTGTTGGTGTGGACGTCAGACCGTCAGGCGTACTACTCTGCTTACGTACTTTCCGCACAGCCACACAACCATATGCTGGCGATAAGCTAAGCCCGCATTGGACCCACGCCCACACCCCCACCCACCGCCTCCCCGTTAACCGTCTCCGTTTTCTGCTAGCTATTTTTATACATATTAGGTTATATTTATAAAACACTCGCTGAGCACAACAAGTACGTCATTGAATTCTGAGTGCCTGTTATTTTTTGCATTTTGCTCTGCAACATGTCGTATACGTAATATTTTCGGGGTTTTTCTTCTGTGTTCTCAATTAGCAAAAGATTTGCACTTTCTTTTCAAGGCAAAGGCATTTGACTTTTGATTCGGCCATTAAAATCATAGCGCCCATTTACCATTTACCGAAAAAAAACGAAACCATAGCAATTTTTCAAGTTAAAAGGCAGTTCAGCTCAGTTTCGGTGCTGTTTCTTGTGTTTTTGAATTGTGGGAGCACCTTTCACTTTACCAACACCAACGGCAAATGATGCAGCCAGCCAGGGCATAAAAATTGAAAAGAAATAAAGACACGGCTAAAAAATGCTGTGCACAACACAAAGAAAACGATACATACATAATGATCCCAACAATCCAACAACACACGCACGTCGGAGGCCCCCACATACAATTGCAACTTTTATACGTAAATGTGAAAGGTTTTCGCTTGCCGCTGCAACATTATTTAATCAATCCAAATTGTGGAGCAGCAGGCAAAAAAAAATCAAGGGGGGAGAGATGGGGGGAAATCGACAAAAATGTATAGACCAAAAAATGCCAAAGAAGAAAGAAACAAAGATGACGGAGAAGGAAAGAAAACACTTCGAAAAAAAAAACTATAACCAGTTTAATTATTTTATGAAATTGTATGTTTCTGGCTCTTTTTCACCCTTTCTCGTTGTTTTTTTTTTTGGTTTTTCGGGAAGAGAGAAATAGGGAGAGACACCTGAGAAAGACTGAGAAATTTGAATAAAATTGTATAATGAACGATCCGGGAACCGGCAGACCTGTAGCGCCCCAAACATGTGTATGTTAATTTAATGCCGTCAGATAAAGAAAAACCCCTTCGGCGGCGGCTATTTTGATTTGTTTTATTTTTTTTTTCTCTTAATTTATCGCTTTTAAAGAGTAGTTTTGCTTGATTGGGTTCCAAAGTGACGTGCGACAGTACGAATAATAATGAAAAAATAAAAAAAATAAAATAAAAAGAAAAGAAACTGTAAAAAGATTCTCAGAGAAGAATTCCTTGGGGGGAGATTGAAGAATCCAGTGCACGTGACAGGGGTAACGCAACAGGTTTTGGTTTATATATGTATTTTTTTTGTGAATTGCCATTGAAAATGGGGTCAATCGATTGCATTTCACAGGCTCCTCCGGTGTTAGGCAATCGATTTGCCGTCAAGTCGAGCTTAGCCGCTCAAGCGGTTTTTGTGGCTTAAGAGGCTTGAGCACTCGAAGCCTGAAGCACCGCACCGCACTGCTTTCCACTTGAGAAGGCGCCCTTAGCCATTTCACCGGTTCGAGCCGTCGCCGCGCTTTCATTGGAACACCAGAAGATTGAAGAAGTGGCAAGGAGAGAGGAAAAACCCACCTGAAACGTGCAACAAATGATGCTTCAGGTTCACACAAAGAAATCATTAAATAAATCCGAAACCAAATTATAAATAAATACTATAATTTTTGGTTTTTTTCCTTTAAAGGTGTTTACTTCCTACAATCTCCTACTTCATTGATAAGTGAAAAGTTATTTTTGGCGTTTTTTTTTACACTATTAGATATGATAAAAAATATGATTTTGCAGCTAATTGATAAAATGAAGAATGAAAATCGAAAAACAAATGAGATATGATAAAAATAAAAAATTGGTTGGTTTTTGGATAATTTTATGCGCTTGTTTTCCTCGGTGTATAGAGACCCCCACCTCCTGAACACGCTGCCCCCACCTGATCCGCAGCAGCTAACAAAAGAGGTAGCAAATGCCTGCGAGCATTTTTTGCTGTCTTTTCTTCTTCTGGCTTTCTTCTTTCTTTCATCATCAGGCCAACATACATACATATTTGTATACAACTGCTGGCAGTATCTGTGGCTGTGTGTGTTGCCCGTTTTGGTAGCATTTTTCAAGAATTGCTAATTCTCAACAATTCCCGGGGTTCATTGAACTCATCATAAACACACACACACAGTCATACAATACACACACCGGCCATCACGCACACACATTTCATTTACGCTTCTCCGGTGCCGGTGCTCGGCTTGCCGCTGCCTTAACTGCTTAACTGGTGCCTGCCTGCTTGCTGATTCTTGGCCCGATGTGTGGCGACTGAGACGGCTAAAATGCGGAGAAAGCACTTGTGTATTTGTATTTTTTTTTTTTAATGCACTGTCCAAAAGAATCAAGGGGCGTGTTGGGGGATGGCAAAAAAATGCGAGGGCTGGCCCACAAGTATTAGCATAATGAAGCAAATGATCGTCGTCTTGGCCATTTTTATACTTTCGTTGACTTGGTTAATTCATGAATTGCAGTATAAATCGTGAGATAGGCAGGTTTATGGCTGGAGAAACTTTCTTCCTAAAACAAATAATCACTGCCTATGTTACGGGGTCAAAGAAACTCCATATTACGTATACGACGTGTGGAAATACAATTATTAGTTCCAGTTCCCCCCAAACGACCCGGCTTACGACTCTAAAATTGAGAAATAAAACTAAATAGTATGTGCATGGAAATTGTCAATATGTCTGCTAATCAGTACTTATCTTTGTCATTTAGTTTTTACTGATGTCTCCTCAAACTTTTTTATGTGACATGAGTTTTTTTTTTTTGTAGAACTATTACGGCAGCCTTAATTAAAAACTACTTATTTTATCTATATACGTGAACTGGTGTAATTGCATTTCTGAAAAAAAGCGTGTTGCTTTAAACTAATTATTAAATTAAAGCTAAATATTTGCCACAATCTTTTAAAAGTGAAAATATATGTAGCCTAGAAAGTTATGTAAGAAACCCTATAATTATGTTTTCCTATAGACCATAATCCATTATAATTAGGCCATTTAAGAATCCACCCTCGCGAGTACCCACTCATAGAGCAATTTCTGGCGTTGCACCCGTGCAAACGGTAATCAATGTTTAAGTTTGTGTGTGTCGAGTAGAGAAGAATGGAGAAGACCCACCGAGGCACTGGAAGAATCGTACCTGCCGCGGCACTGGAATTCATACATACATACCCTCGAAAACTAACAAACATACATATATTGTACATACCGTCGCCGACGTTCCCTTTTTTTTATGGCCAAAACTGGATTCCATTCGGTTTTGGGCTTAGAATGTGAACTTTGGAGGTGGGGCGCGGCCGAGGCAGGCGAATTTTACATACAAATGTGTTTTTTAAAGCGTAATTACATGCACTTCTTTATCGCAGAAAGAGTGGCAGACAGTCACTCACGAAAACTTAAAACCATGTGCATATGTACATACATATTTGCCACAGAATGCCGCCTTTAAATGGGTCAGGCAATTTATGGCCGTAGATTGCCAGGCGACAATTAAGCGAATCCAGTCCAAAAATCTGGCACATTCGGGATTACATCATCATCATTGGCTTTTGGCTTCATGGCTTGAAAGTTTTAAACAAATGCCAAGCAAATATATTCTGGATCTGTTTGTTTTTTTTTTATGTATGTATGTATTAACTTTTCGTTCCATTCGCCTCATTTTTTGTTTTCTTGAAGTTTTTTTTTGTTTTTGGTTTTTGGCGGCAAATAGAACACGCGGCTGGCGAACTTGTTCCCAGCGATTGTTATTTGCACTGCACTCTGAGTGATTTTCAAGGTTGGATTTAGATTCTGTGATGCTCATGGCAGCATCACAGACAGCATCGCAGCCTCGAAACACTTAACACTGGGCTCTGCTCAAAATAATTAATTACACTTTTACACACTCCATCCGAGGTTTAATTGAAATTTGTGGCAAATGGTGTACGCGCGAAACTCGACTAACAGCTTTAATGGGACCAGAGGCAGTGACCTACCTGCCTGCCAGCCTGCGGGCTATCGATATATCCTTAAGGACATGTTTGATATCGATACATCTTACTAGGCGGGCTGTTTAAAAGTTTTATAGAACTTTTTCCCCCACCTACACATAAATAGGAGGAAAAAATTCCCACCTTCGATATGCTGCAGAAGCCCCAAAAATAATGACTTAACAATTGATAAGTTCAATATTCTATACTGATTGCGAGTGCCCAACAAAAATGTTTTCAAGGGTACGCCGGAATCGCAGAGGTGGTGTGGACGGTAAAATGTCTTCTGATAAGATTGACAACAAGAATATATATTGCACAGCCCGTGGAGGAGGCCACATGCATGGGGCAGTCGGATCTGGTCTATATATACCATTTTTCAAATCAAATCAATTATTTTTTTTTTGTATTTTAGTTCGAGCTATCTGCATGGCTCGAGAACTGTTGCGTTTTGGGTGTGCGATTTGCGATTTTCGTGATTTTGCCATAGGTTATATATATTTCAATTGTACCTTTGTGTTTGTTTTGCTTTTTTTTTTTAGTACTCATTTTTTGTGTGAGTGTTTTTAATTATATAACCGTGCTATCGCCGTGCAACACGACTACGAATGACTTTTGAACATTTACTAATTGCCAACTAATAATTTGTGTTTGTTTCCCTTTTTTTTTGTGTTGGCGCCGTTACAGGAATCCTTGAAAATCAGCCCCGATCACGATATGCACGACTGGCTGTTCGATCGCGATGTCAAAGATCCCACCGTCATACTCAACGACAAGCTCATCTCGGATGCACTGCTCAATGGCACCCAGCCGATCAAGACGGAGCACTCCTACAGCCTCAACAGCGACGTTGATTCCCTGCCCGATTCACCAAAAAGCCTTCAGGCCAAAATCGAGGGTGAGTTGAAAAGATTGTTTTTGAAAAGGAGTGACTTTGTGGTATCCTTTTTCCAGTCAGCAAACCAAACAAGATCAATATTTGTCAGACATTTTGGGGGTTTATTGTGGGCCCTCAAAAAAGCGCTGAAAACCAAACACAGTTGGCAGTTGGTTATAATTTAGGCCAGGTACATAGTGAAAACAACGCTGACGACAAGAATAACAGTTGAAAAACAGTTTCGGCTCCGTTCTGTTCTGTTTTTTTAGTGTCGCGGTAGCATTTAGCAATTTAACGCAGTACTCGTGCATGAAGTTTTGTACTTTGACGCGATATCAGTTGTCTGTATGTATAAGGGAGTAAACTGTGTATAATTGCTCGGGTCTGGGCTTTTTTTTCCATAATATATTTGTAATTTTATGGAAACTGTACGACCGACAACTGTGTAAATAAAATTAAAACGAAATATTTTGTGGTAGTGGGTGGTGCGAGACGGTAGGGAGGTATGGGAGGCCAGCCGTTTATATAGTGAGGTGAGCCAGAGTTTTGTCTGAAAAACAATAAAAAAATATATGAATATAAAAAAACTGAAAAAAAACAGAATATCAAATGCAAACACAAGTGCAACTCTGAGGACTGACGCGTGCGGTGGCAAAGGAAAGTGATCCGGTGTTAGCACAGTTACAGACTTTAACTTCAATTCTTGCATAATAATGTGGGTTAGACGCGATAATATTTGTCCAGCATATTTACGCACATATTGCTCCCAATACCACTTGTTTTCAACCCAAAAAATTGTGTGAGTTTAGAACAAATATTTAAATAGGGATAATTATTTTACTAAAAAATACAATACGATTTTTTAGAGTATAGGTTATTATTGTTGAAAGATTTTTTAGATCTTTAACTTCTGAAAACTTTATTAAGCTTAAGCCATGACGTGGCTTTCCGTTCCTTGTTAGCTTTTCTATAAGTCTGTAGGTTTAATAATAAAACATTATATTTTATAGACATGGACGACGAGTGCTATCCTGCCATTTCACTAAAGACGGCCACCAGTGGGCGCGCCACCATCGACCCCAAGTGCCTCACCCTCCATCCCCCGCCCACCACGCACATCAGAAGCCTGAGCAGCAATCCCGCCCTCAACACATCCGTCGTGGAGCTGACCAGCCCCTCCCTGACCCTAACACGGTCCGGCCTGCAGAGCCTGCAGTCGCAGCAGCCACATCACGGAGTCCATGGCTCCAACTCCGGCCACGTGGTGGTCGCAGCCCTCGAGCACTTTCAACTACCTCAGCACCTGTACGACAATGACTGCAGCTCCTCGGTATCATCGGTGCGGGAAGGCAGCATGTCGCCGGATATATGCTCCGACATCGAGATCGACGAATCGGCCATCAAGGATGAGCCCATGTCGCCGGACTCCAGCTGCCCCGCCAGTCCCAATTCGCAGGGTAGCAGCTCCCAGCACCAGCTTAGCCTCAACCTGGCCCACCTGCAGACAGAGATGTTATTTGAAACGAAGGTGAGTCAACCAAGCGAATAAAATAGATAAGGAACTTCCTGAGATAAAACTTTTTGGGACTAAGCTCTAAATAGCCGCAAATATTTTAAGCCAAAAGGCAAAACAGTTTTTATTTAGTTATTTTTGAAAAATTTCCTACTATTCTCAAGAGAATTAACGGGTATTAGATAAACAAAAAAAAGTTGAGGAAATCCTCCGTTTCCGTAAGGGGATTATTTATAATTAGTATCATACTGACCAGTATCGTTTGTCTTTTCCAGCATGGTGGACTCCTGTTGACCGCCAGCAACAACAACAACAGCCTCATCAAATCCCAGCAGCGACAGCAACAGCTTCTCGGTCAGGGTGATCTCCTAATGACCAAAATGGAGATCAAGAGCGAGAAACAGAGCCCCGGCAGCAGCACCAGCTCCAGCAATAGCAGCACCAGCAGCGGAAAATCACATGCTCATGGGTATGGAATACCGCTGACGCCACCATCCTCCCTGCCCAGCGATGATTCCGAAGGTAACTTGACACCGGAACACTTATTTTCGCCACTGTCGCCCAACGCTTCCGTTTCTATATCCGTGGCCAATGCAGCCGGCGGCGAGTCATCCGTTATGGTACGCCGGAACGCTGCCGGCATCACTCGCTCTTCCAGCGGCTCCAACTCTAGCTCCAGCACAACAACGGCAACCACAACGACCCGCCAGCCGATCCACACGCCGCTAATTAGCTCACAGCCGGTAAGCTTTTAAATATATTTCATGCGTTATCACAAGTTTTTTGATTAAATATTTTTTAATAACCAAAAAAAAAAAAAAGAGTCTTATATTATGAGATAATATTAAAGTTTTTAAATCCTATTAACTTTGCAGAAAGGTTCCACGGGAACTCTACTTTTAACGGAGGAGGAGAAGCGAACTTTGCTGGCCGAAGGCTATCCGATACCCCAGAAACTCCCGCTCACCAAAGCCGAGGAGAAATCTCTTAAGAAGATTCGACGTAAAATCAAAAATAAAGTAAGTTCTTCAATAAACACTTTTAATTAAAAAAACATAATTTAATTATGATTTATTTTCCATAGATCTCTGCTCAGGAAAGTCGACGCAAGAAGAAGGAGTACATGGACCAGCTGGAGAGACGCGTGGAGATTCTCGTGAACGAGAACCATGACTATAAGAAGCGTCTGGACGGGCTGGAGGAGACCAATGCCAATCTACTTAGTCAGCTGCACAAACTGCAGGCCCTAGTTAGCAAGCACAATGTTAAAAAGTCCTAAGCCCAGATCCAGAGCCAGTAGCCTCTGGGTCCGGATCCGTTTCTTGTTTCCCCGCCTTTCCGACACATATGTATATGTAATTGTAGATTCTACACATATATTTATCCGTATGTTTTTTTGTTTTTGATATAATTTTGGTCCTGGAGTTTTGCGTGAGAGTTTTTTTTATAAGAATTTATGCGATGAATTTTTTTATTCGGCTTTTGGTTAGCACAAAGCGGTAAACATTCCCCTCCCTCCTACTTCTACGCAACCAACTCTCACTCCACCGCACCCATATACCAATACCATACCATGCATATATGTATGCTATAATATATATTCCACTGATTTAGCAGCCTAACAGCCTAAACCATATTATTAATTTGTATCTATATCCTAGCTACTTGTAGGGCGTATATTATATAGAGATATGTATATTAGTCATGCATTCCTGTTATATAAACTTGATCTAGACTCTAGAGCTTAGGCGAACGACCAGCTGCAACTACAATAGCAACCACAATTCAAATCAAGAAGCTCAAAAATTTAAAAAAAAAGAGTAAACGAGTAAAAAAGAGAGAAGCTAAAATAATACATAATATTGTAATAAAATGAAATCAACAGACCAAAAACAAAAGCATAAAAAAACAGCAAACTAATGAAAAAAGTTAACAAAAAATGGACAAAAAAAAAGAAGAAAGAATCGCATATGACATGCTAAGATGTGGGCTCTTAAAAAAAAATTATCAAATCTTTGATTGATCTAAGAGCAGCAACATGTACATTATGTTTTAATAATGATTGAATGATTGAACGAAAGACTCTCGGAGCCTAATCTCTGTGCTGTCTTTGGCATGACTCTTGTTCCTTTAAACGATATTTCTCAAAAAACAAACATGAAAGCTATTGAATGAGCTGAATGAAGGATAATACCTAAAAAATTCCATAATTTAGCTATGTAGAATGAGTACATATATAACAAACTATGTCTGTATGCAGCATTTAAGTTTCTTTTTATTTGTTTACCAGCAACAGTCGGGATGGAGATTCAAAATAACGAATTTAAGAAATAGGATCCTCCGGCTTCCCGGATTCGTTCTCCACTTGTTGCGTTGCCTGGACGAATTAAACAATATCCGAGCCAATCAATTATGAAAAATGAATTATTGTTTGTTAAGTTTTATATTATAAGACAGCGCTGCACTAACCAAAATGAAATTGACATTGAAAATGAATAGAGAGCAATACCCAATTCAATCAAATTTTGCAGCAATGATTTTGTTTTTATGTTTATATTTCAGTTTTAACGATCTAGTGCAATTTTTTGGCATAAATAATTAGACAGATATTTTTTGTATTTTGTATTTCTTCACATCGTTCTGAATGAGTCATTCTAGTTTAAATTAGTTGAATTTATATAAACAAAATTACTTAAACGAAATTTTAAGTCTAACGCATTGATTTCTTATCAAGTGGATATCAAAAGAATATATAATAATTTAGATTCTTTAATGTATGTATGTCCTGTGCATGTGTGTATAAATCAAGCGGACAAAGTTGTGCAATTGTTAGTAAAATTTAAAAAAAAAACAAACGAAAATCAAGAAATGTTTAGGAAAAATACCGGTAACACAAAATCGAAGTTGAAAATCAAAGCGCTTGTGCAATGACAAACATTTTTATTATAAAATGCGTAAACGAAACAAATTAACAACATTATATACATTACATATACTATTTTTTGGCTATAGCATTTTTAACGCATATATTGTATGTTAAAAGTTTAAAAGAAAACAAACAAAACATGAAAATATAAACAAAAAAATTGTAAAACTATTATGATCGGTTGCTGTAATTTGGCAAAAGTAAAAGTGCAATTCCAAATAAAATTTATACAACCATAACAGCAGCAGCAATATGCGAGTTTTATTTTAATTTAAAAACAAAAAAAAAACCTTTTTAAAAGATGCCCAAGGCGCTCACTCGAGCAATAAATCACTCGATTTATTTGGCGCTCACTCGATAGTTTCTATTTCAACTATCGATAAATCACAATTTTTCAATTCACCTCGTGAATCACGAGTTGAAATACTCAACAAAACGATAATTCGACACAAATATAATAAATAAAGGCGACGAACCAGACGTGTGAAACCACTTTTATCAATAACTACAACATTAATACAAAAAAAATTCTAAAAAATGGGGAAAAAAAACAGTGAGTTTCTCGTTCGTCTTATTTGGCTGCTAGTAATAGATTCCTTTGAATCACAGAATATAAGGACGAAGGGAAGCCCCAGCAGCCTCAGCAGCAGCAGCAACAGCAGCAGCAACAACAACAACAGCAACAACCACAAGGCAAGTGCAATACGCTTTTCCAGAATTATCTCTTGAGCAAATGTATGTATGTGAACGTATGTATGTACAAAGCTACATATTTAAATTTCACAAGACTACGACTCGGGCTCTAAGTTATGACGTGGTTTCAGTACAATATGCCTTCCCGGGAATCCCCTTTTTCATTTTTTTTTATCTACTACTACTACTACTAAGTACTTATAAGTACTAAGTACGTATACGTACATTGTACTTATTACACCTTTGAACCAGAAATAATGAAATGATGATGTTGCCTTCATATTGATAATATTCTATAATTATATTATTCAAAATATTAAGTGCATTATTCCCCCCCAGCTGGCTCCGGAGCACCTGTTGCGAGACAAACTCAACAGCAGCCCGGTCAACAGCAGCAGCAGCGACCTCCAGGAGGTCAAGGATGGGGAGGACAAGGGGGACAGCAGAGACCCTCAGGTAGTCAGGGTTGGGGAGGACAAGGGCAGAGAGCCCCGCTCCAGCAGGTTCGAGCTCCACCCCCGCAGTCGGCTCATGGAGAAGGAAATCAGCAGCGACAGGCCGATCAGGGCCAAGGAGGTCAGCAGCGACAGGGCCAAGGAGGTCAGCAGCGACCGGCGTATCAAGGCCAAGGAGGTCAGCAGCGACCGGCGTATCAAGGCCAAGGAGGTCAGCAGCGACAGGGGTATCAGGGCCAAGGAGGTCAGCAGCGTTATCAACAGGGCCCGGGACCAAGTCAAGGAAGTTCCAGCCAGCAGTCATACTCGCAGCCGCAGAGGTCGCAGGCGGGAGCTGTAGCTCCGTCTCTTCCCGCAGGAAGCATCAAGCGGGGAACTATTGGCAGGCCCGGCGAAGTGGCCGTCAATTATCTGGACATAAATATGGAAAAAATGCCTCCCACGGCATACCATTACGACGTCAAAATAATGCCCGAACGACCCAAAAAGTTCTATCGTCAGGCTTTCGAGCAGTTCCGTGTAAACCAATTGGGTGGTGCTATTGTTGCGTACGATGGTAAGGCTAGCTGCTACTCTGTTGACAAGCTAAAGACAAACTCGCAGAATTCAGAAGTGACGGTAAGATAAAAAAAAAAAAGAATAGTTTTCTTTGTTACGCACTCAGAGTTCTCATCCAGGTGACTGATCTTTACGGCAAGACTCTTCACTACACAGTGGAAATCAAGGAGACTGGAGACTCTGAAGTCAATCTAAACTCGCTGAAGAGGTGGGAACTTGAGTTTCTATTTTGGGAACATGTTTGCTTACATTCATTTTAATTCGGTTCATAGCTATATGAAGGACAGAATCTTCGACAAGCCAATGCGTGCCATGCAGTGCTTGGAAGTGGTCTTGGCAACCCCATGCCACAACAAGGCCATTCGGGCTGGCCGCTCCTTCTTCAAAATGTCCGAACCAGGCCAGCGTCGCGAACTTGATGATGGATACGAAGCTTTGGTGGGTCTCTATCAGGCCTTCATGCTGGGCGATAAACCGTTCCTTAATGTCGACATATCGCACAAATCCTTTCCAATTGCTATGCCGATTCTTGAGTACCTAGAGAGGTACGGTCTGAAACAGAAAATTAACTCCAACACCAATCTAGACCAATCTCGTCGCTTTATTGAACCGTTCTTGAAGGGAATAAGTGTAGTCTACACACCACCCACCTCCTTTGGCAGTACTCCACGAGCCTATAAAGTCAACGGACTTTCCGCCTATCCGGCCAATAAGCAGACCTTCGTTTTGGAAGGGAAAACCCTTACGGTTGCAGATTACTTCAAATCGCGCAACTACGCCTTGAAGTTCCCACAGCTTCATTGCCTTCACGTGGGACCTGCAGTGAAGAACATCTTTGTCCCCATCGAGCTCTGCCATATTGAGGGAGGTCAAGCCTTGAACGTAAGTTTCCAGTTCTTCTTCTAATCGAATTGAATAATTTAATTAATTAATTATTTCAGCGAAAGGATGGTGCCAATCAGGTAGCTAATATGATCAGATTTGCGGCCACCTCTACCAATGAACGCAAATCTAAGATCATGCATCTACTGGAGTTCTTTAAGCACAACTTGGACCCAACAATTAGTCGTTTCGGAATTCGTATCAACAACGACTTCATCGTGGTACACACCCGTACACTTAATGCGCCCCAATTGGAATATAAAGATAACAGATGGGCCTCGCCAAGGAACGGATCATGGCGTATGGATAACTTGAAGTTCCTCGAGCCCAAAATTAAGGCTCATAAATGGGCCATACTTTATTATGGCGGCGATCCTCGTCGCCAGATGCACTTTAATCAGGTTTCCGAGTTTGAGAGAATGATGCTTTCCCAAAGCAAGTCGGTAAACGTGGTTCTAGAAGCTAAGGCTGAAATACGACAATTCAAGGATGATCGCAATCTAGACGATTGTTTCACGGATCTTAAGCGCAACCAATGCGATCTGGCTTTCGTCGTTATTCCCAATTTCGGAGCATCTTACGACACCATAAAGCAGAAGGCCGAACTAAAGCACGGCATCCTGACGCAATGCATCAAACAATTTACGTTTGAACGGAAGCTTAATCCTCAAACGATTGGAAACATTTTATTGAAGGTTAACTCAAAATTGAACGGCATTAATCACAAGCTAAAGGAAGATCCGCGACTCGCAGTGCCCAAAAACGCCATGTTCATTGGCGCCGATGTGACCCACCCGTCGCCCGATCAGCGTGAAATCCCCAGCGTAGTGGGAGTGGCCGCATCGCACGATCCCTACGGCGCTGCATACAATATGCAATATCGATTGCAGCGAGCGGCACTGGAGGAGATTGAAGATATGGAGTCGATCACGTCGGAGCATTTGCGCGTTTATCAAAGATACCGTAAGTGTTATCCGGAACATATCTTCTACTACCGCGACGGTGTTAGCGATGGCCAGTTCCCTAAGATCAAAAATGAGGAGCTTAGGGGCATTAAGGCTGCATGCGCTAAAGTTAAGATCAATCCGAAGATTTGTTGTATAATTGTGGTGAAGCGCCACCACACCCGCTTCTTCCCGAAAGGTGAGCCATCGCAATACAATAAGTTTAATAACGTCGATCCGGGAACCGTGGTGGATCGTACCATCGTCCACCCCAACGAGATGCAGTTCTTCATGGTCAGCCATCAGTCTATTCAGGGCACCGCCAAACCGACTCGCTACAATGTCATCGAAAACAGTGGAAATCTGGACATCGATTTGATTCAACAATTGACCTATAATCTCTGCCACTTGTTTCCACGCTGCAATCGCTCGGTCTCGTATCCGGCACCAGCGTACTTGGCTCATTTGGTGGCTGCCCGTGGTCGTGTCTATCTAACTGGGTATGCTGTTCACTGTTAATGATATGGACCTGGTTTAAAAATTCTTTATTTTTCAGGTCTACCAGGTTTGATCCCAACCTGAAGAGGGAGTACGAGAAGCGAAAGATTGTGGACGGTTTTATGAATACCAATCCCATGTATTTCGTTTAAAATTCAACAATTGAAAACCATACTTGGAAAATACTTGGATTATCTATTAAACATTTTTATATAATATTCTGCACTAAATCGTTTTTATACATGGTACATGTGGGATGATTTTGGCAATCTAATAAATAAATTTCAGCTTTCTATCATGAAAGTTTAACTTGGAAACTGAATCTAGGTTCATGGTTCAATGGGTTATCAACTTCCCTTGGCTTTAACACCCAAGCATAGCTTATCTGCAAAGTTGGTTTGGAAACAAATATTTGTCCACTTTTAGAATTATTTTTAGGCTCATTAATGCTATAAACCTATTTCATTATATGAAAATGAAATTAAGAAATATTTAAAACTAAAATAAAAAAGGTCCTGGTTATATATCAATGAGCAAAGAAGCTCTTCCTTCTATTCCGATTATAACTTATTTTTTGAAGATTTTTTTAAAGAAACACCCAATTTTGGAACAAATGTACGTTATTATTATCACATTTTTGAAATTATTTGTATACAATTATAAATATTAGAGTAAAGGAAACTTCCTGCTGGTACCATTATGGGAAGGAACTCTCCGAAAAATAAGCATAAAAAATTTGTCTGTATTTGCTTTTATGTACATAGATTCCGGGTAGATACCAACAGAGGAGAATCCTTAAATAATAATTTTATTACACAATTGTTAAATGTTAAATTATTTTGAACCACTTGAGGGCATCAAAAGAAATACTTATATTTATGAATTGCGACCCTACATTGCATCGAAATGGAATCTGTGAGACTCTTGCAGCCGTTCCTGCTTATCCTCGCGCTTTTCTTTAATATACAAAACCAGGATAATGAAGACGATGACTAGGCAGGTACCGCCCAGGGCCACAACGCTCATTAGGATGAGCTTACTGGGTGTTACGAAGAGCTGGGCCTTCCAGTGCGACGGGGAGTCTAGAGGTTTTGGCACAACGATGATCTGTGAGTTGGGAATGAGTTGGGTAAAATTGCGATACTTGCTGCCCAGGCCCACAGACAGTTGGTCCACGAAATTGGGCGTTCGGCCCAGTCCAAAACAGGTATATGGTAGCTGCAGGGCGAAGTACGATGCCTGGGGCAGCTGAACACTGCTCCCACACTGCTGATCGCCATCTTGAGTGGTTGTGCTGTATGTGATCCGAGGACCTGGCAAGTTAGTTCCATAGGTGCGCTGTTTCCTACCCAGAGCGGTACGTCGTTCCGGGTTCTGTTTGTTGTCCAGTCCAGTTAGCACAATGACCTTAACAAAGTTGGCATCATAGTCTAGAGTGTTGAGGAAAGCTAGGGGCTGGTATTCGCCGTTTTGATTCTTCCGGATGAGTATCACATCCAGAACACCATCCTGGTAGAAGTCATAGAAAGCTCCAGCCACAGTATTGTTTCCCATGGGAGACAGCGCGTTCCAACGAACCTCGAAGGTTCGCTTCAAGGGTTTGTTGCACGTAGTACATGGTACGTTTTCCAGCAAGAACGTTTGCATGACTGGTTTTCCGACGTTTAACGGCTGGAGCGTGATCAGCAGATCGGGATACCCGTCCAGATTGAAATCCGAGCTACGCGCAGTAATGGTTCTCAAATAAATGTCTTCCGGATCAGGTGGCACAAAAGCCCATGTAATGCCATTGGGATCGCGAAAGTTGACATGAAGGTTGTGAAAATCCGTGCCATCGTGGACCATAATCGACGAGTTCCTGCAGCTGGCATGGATGCAAAATGGAACCACGATATACTGCTCTCCTTTCAGTTCAAAGTCCATGAAAACAGCCTGACCGATATGGTAATCATTGCCTCCAATTGGCTGGAACTTAATTTCGTACTTGTAGCTGAAGTTTTCCTGTTTGTCGCGTTCGTTGATCCCGTACCAGACCTCATACGAATCTTTAGTCTGCAGGAACAGATCGGCTAAGAAATCGCCGTTGCGATCGAGATAGGCATTGGCATTTGGAATGGCCAAGGTGCTTGAAGTTACTCCCGTTGGTTCCGCCTGATGGCGTACTTCCGGCGCTTTCCTGCTGCTGTTGAATATCCAAAATGTCCTTTCGTTATTTGAATCCAGTCCGTAGAGATCGATGATCATGTCTCGGTTAAAGTCCAGGGCCATAACCTCACCCCTGCTGGAGAACAAGGGCTCTTGTGCGCACTGGAGCTCTGTGGTGTTGCCCCAATTGATATACACATCGTAAGCATCCTTGCCCTCGCTGCTCTTAATGTTGATTAGGACATCCATCTGAGCGTCGCCATCAAAGTCTCCGGGGATTACGCTTACAATTTTTTTGCCATTGTATTGGCAATAGGGACCCTGCATCAGCAAGGGCTCCGTATAGTGACCTAAATAAGGAAATATTAACTATGGAGGCTCATTGCTTATCCAAACACCAACCGTAGAGTATTCGTAGCGTTGTCATTTTGTCGCCAATGATGAAAACGTCTGTGAATTCGTCGGAGTTGAAGTCTCCGAAGGCTGCCACGATTCCCTCACGGATGTTCCCGAAGACCTTGTCTGTGATGTCGCTGGAACGGATCAAGCGGCAGGTACCCAGCAAGAACAGGAGCAGGAGCCCCAGATGCAGGACGGATTTCGCCATCCCCAAGTTGTTCACTGCAGATTTGCGTTGCCTTTCGTTTGTTTTTTTGGATCTTTGTTATTGTAGCAAAATCAATACTGAGTCAGATGAGGGACTGTCCACTTGGTTAAAATGGCGAATCGATAATATTGTTATCGGGTGGCAGTGCTGTTACCTTTTTAAAGCGCCAAATTCAAAAATATTTTGATAAAAAATGTGATATTCATAACATTTTTCTTTTATTTTATTGATCTTCAATTTCTTATTTAATATTAAAATACTTTGTGTTTAAAAAGTTATAAAAACTTTCAGATAAATATGTTTAAAATATCCTCACGTTTTACGTTTTGTGTTTTAAAATTGTTTTACATTTAACAATAACTTTTTTTGATTTAATAGTTATAAAATAAAAAAAAAAAAAGTGTTTCAGATTCTGAGAAGCTGAAAAGTAAGTAATTTTTATGTTTTATATAAGCTACTCATCACAGAGTAAAGGAACTTTCATAGAATTCCACAAAATGCATCACACTGTAAAAAAAATACATAAAAAAAAATATTTGGTTATCCTACACACTTATAGCAGCGGATGGTCTCGGTGAAGTACATATTGTAGCCCTGCACCTCAATCATTCTCTTTTGAATATCCGACTCGATGTGGTTGTAAGCCATGTGCCAGGGGCATGATGTGCTTCGTTTGGAGTTAATAAGACTGAAGGAGAAAGAACCATAGTATGTATTATATACAATTCAAATATATACCATATACCGGCATAGGTGCTTCATCACTTCGTAGATTTGGGCCATTTTATCCGCTTTAACCAAGTTGTAGATCTGACCATGCATCAAATCCACGTCTGCCGGCGCGGGCACTTCCTCATTGGTTACCCAATCGTTTAGCAGATTCTTATAGTCTGCCTGGAGCAGGAAATTGCGCACCTCGATGCAGGGAACTTCTTCCACCGGCCTAGAAATGTAATCAAGAATAGCTGGGTGATTATACTTTGGAAGCTCATCAATATAATCGGATACAATTTGATCGGACCGACAACGAAATTCGTCCTCCTTGCGAGAGGCTCTCATCTCCAAACGAGCTATGGCGGCTTTTGAGGTTGATGGTTGGAGATCGATTTCATTTAATGGACTCTGACCGCAGGCCGGAGAGAAGGCCGGAGTTTGTGCTGGCGATGGAGTGCGATTGCCTCGTTTTGATTTCTTACTGGGAGACCGACCAGTTTCTTCAGTTTCGGCGAAGGGGCGAAGGTGCTGTTCCTTAAAGGCGAGAACCTCACGACGAATATCGTCCGGTAACTGAGCTAGAACTTCAGGGTCAAATTGACCTTCTGTAGAAAAAGCCGGACCCGTTTCATCTCCCTTAAAAAAATCATAATTTCGAGAAGACTCTTTTCGCACTCTATCCTCATTTAAAGATTTCCGACCAGCGGCCGCTGTCAACATGCTAAGTACGCTTTTTTTTCCCTTTGGCTTGACTTTAGTCTCCTCTGGAATGGGTTTGGTTTCCTTTGCAGGCACTTCTTGTGGTTCCACTATAGTTTGGTCTAGATTTTGTGTTTGAAATAAATTATTTTAACATATATATAAATGGTGTATACTTATTATTGATTAAAATACCTTTCTTTTTCTCTGAAATTTTGACAAACATGTTTTTAAGAACGTTCTCTTTGCGCACCACGTTGACATCTTCCAGTTTACTCAAGTGTATCCCAATACCGCGTAGTTCATTCGGTGGCAAATGAGCCTCCCTCATCATATTAAGAACATGCGATGTAATCACATTAACGTCCTCCGTGGAATGTTTGAGAACGGATGACTTGTTGATCACATCGCAGACCCCGTGGCCCATGAACTTGGACGTTTCGACAGGGGCCTCGGCAGCGCGCACCATGATCTTGAGATTGATAGACTTTGTCCTACGTTTGGCGTCTATTAGACGAGTGGTTACCTCGGCGCCAAGCTGACGTAGAAAATTCTCAACCTCGATAGTTTTGGTGAAACGGATGCCATAGTTGGCCTCGGCAGAGACTTGCTTGCGTTGCTTTAAAAAGGATTATTAAATTATTATTAAGAAAATATAATATTCTAGAAAACTAATCAACCTGTTCATAGTTCAAGGGACGCGTATCAATTCCTTGACAGTTCTGGTATAAGGTTTGGGCCTGTTTCTTGCCCAGCACAGATTCTAACTTTTCGAGAGTGATCTTTTGGACGTCACCACAGCTGGACAAGCCAACCTGACCCAGCTTGTAGCTCATGCTGCTGCCCACACCAGGTAGAGACTCCAAGGGAGTGGGTGCCATATAGGCCAGCAAATCTTGGTCGTGATCCAACAAGTACTGGCCATTCGGTTTGGCCTCTTTTGTAGCCATGCGAGCCAAAAGCCTTAAAAAATGCATAATTTTTTATATTTGTGAGTTAAATGAGGTTTGGTACCCACTTATTGGATCCCACACCCGCTGAGCAAGGACACCCAGTTTTGGTGTGCACTTCCTGCCTGAGATGGCCTACAAAAGCCATAACATCCACTTTCAGATCATCCACTAGATCCGTGAGCTCTACGAACATTTCATCACAGCTCACCGCCTCTATATTCAAAGTGTATTGTGCCACCGTGTTGTACAAAGTAAATGCCACTTCCTTGTATCCTTCAAAGTCGTAGGGAATGGTCTTTAGATCCGGGCACATTTTCAAGGCCTGGCCCACAAACATGCCATTGCGGATGCCCTTCTTTCGGGCCTCATAGCTGCAAGAAGCTATCTCCGAGAGCGACATCTTTTTATCGAATCCCGAACGAACCTTATCCGCCTTAATGTTATCATGAAGATGGTGCTCAAAGCGTTGGGCAAAGAGTTCCAGCTCCGCCTGCCTATCCGCCTGAGGATGCACTGGAACATCGGTCGCTGAGCTCCCTCCCTTTGAATGTGTCACAGCTACCGGCAGGCCGCGCAGTTCCGGATGGGATCTCAGGCCCACAGAGACGAAGAAACAGTCCATGTCGATGTGCATTACGTACCTCATGGAGCCAACCTTGGTACTTTTCAACAGGGATTTAAGATCCTGTCTTTTGGGGAACCCCTTGGAGCCTTGGGCTTGTCTTAGCTCACAGACATACTGCTTGAATCCAGCTCCCAGGGTGGCAATGTGATGCAGTCGCGAGTTTTTGTAAAATTCACTAAGGAATCCAGGATCTACAGCAGTCATGGCATTATGCGAGGTGTTGCTGGTGGTGGACAAGTTAGTGATCTTTGCCTCCTTCTCTGGAGAAGCAGCCACAGCCTGTTGCAGCTCCTTGAGTATCCCATCCAAGTTCGATTCTGTCTTTTCCAAAGGCGGTTCTCCCAGTTTGCTTTCATTGTTGCTGTCGTTCTTTGACTTTCCGAAATTAAGGCGGGGCTGGGAAGTCTTCTGATTGGTGTAGAGCAGGTATGGCTTGTAGTCCAGGATTTTCTCATTTTCCAGACAATCTACTACCCACTGGGCGCTGATGAACTTGCTCAAATTCATATTCCGCACCTTAACGTCAGGCACATTGGTGGCGATTGTGAACGTGGTGTGGGAACGTTCGTAGTGATGGTAGGTTCCCCCGTGCACCATCATGATTCTTTTTAGTTCGTCGGCAGAGGGATTGGTTCGGCCATTAACAAAGATCGAAATGCCGGCAAATAAGTTCGTTTTGCGAAATGGATCGCTGGCGGCGGAGAACTGCTCTTCTAGCTTGGATTTCTTGGCTTCGAAGTAGCCGCCCTACAGTCGTTGAAAAGCATTAGAAGCTCCTTGTCTTGTAATTTTGCAAATCTTACCCAATCGCCAAATCCATTGTCCTCATCTCGAGCCATGGCTTAAATTACAAAAGTATTTCGTTTGGCTCCAAGTTGAGCAGTGTTAGAAAAGGCCTAAGAAAATACCAGATTTCACAACTAAGACTAGCAGTGTTGTATAATGAACCAACCATTGTTCTGCAGCCCTGCGAAAATCGCGTTCGACTGTCAATTTGTTTTTAATTGAAATTTTGTTGCGAATTTGATATTATTTAATTATCTGAAAATATGTGGAAGTACGGACAAAACCAGGGAAATCAAGGCCCTGCAGGTGCCGGCGGAGGAGGTGGCAACCCCAATATGATGCCAATGGGCGGCTTCGGCATGCAGGGCAATATGCAGCAGATGCACATGTCCCCCCAGCACCAGCAGCAGCAAATGGGCATGATGGGTGGCCCGGGAGGAATGCAAATGAATCCGCAGGCGGGAGGACCCGGAGGTCTGATGCCAGGAATGTCACCGCAGCATCAGATGCAGCAGCAACAGATGATGCAACAGCAGATGATGGGCCAACAGCAAGGAGTCGCCGGCATGGGCGGTGGCGTTGTTGGAATGGGTGGTCCCGGTGGAATGGGTGGAGCAGCCGGTGGGGTTATGCCCCAACAACAGCAGCAGCCGCAGAACATGCCACAGCAACAACAGACGCCGCAACAGCTCACCCCAGGGGCAGGAGTAGCACCCGGAGGCGCTGGCGGGAGCAACAACATGCTAGCTATTTCACAACAAAATCCCCACAAGGAGATTAACATAGTTCAACTGTCGCGCCTGGGTCAGGAGACGGTCCAGGACATAGCCTCACGATTCCAGGAGGTATTCTCCGCCCTCAAGAACATACAGCCCACCTCGCATCGCGATAACAATACGGAAAAGAAGGTGCAGGAGTATTTCCGCACAATTCGTTTGCTCTTCAAAAGAGTCCGCATCATCTACGAGAAGTGTAACGACGCCGGAATGGATTACATGAGTGCAGAGAACCTAATTCCATACCGAGACGAACCGGAGCCAAGGATTGAGCCTTCGCAGTGCGACGAGTACCGGAAGGTGGTCCAAGAGAATCACGAGCTCATAGAGACTGTAAAGTTAAAGAACCGACAGCTGAGGGAGATTATCGACAGAACGCGTATAATTATATGGGAGATCAACACTATGCTGGCCATGCGACGTTCTTAGGTTTATGTTTTTAAATTAAGATTCAATAAAAATATATAAAAGCTAAGATTTTGTTCACTTCCTAAACCAGTAGATGTTTAAATGGAACCCCCTCGACTACGCCTCTGACTAATATTTTGCCGCAGATGTTTTGTATACATACACTTGAGGCTTTTCCAACACTGGTACGCATTTACTCCACGAAGAAGAAGAGTTTGTTGTGGGCGACAAAACTGAAAATCTTTTAATTAGTCGATATTTTATAAATAAAAAATTTGCAATCATGGCAAAGATGGCATTTCAACACCAGGCCGGCACGGCCATGGAGTGTCTGAGCGTAAGAAATAAACAATTCCATCCAGTGGCCATTGAATCCAGTTGCTCTCTCCGGAAGGCGTGTGTGTATTGGTGGAATTGGGTCGCTGGAGCAATAATGAGCTACTTTCATATTTTAACAATAGACTTACCTGTTTCCCGGTTGTTAGATTCCAATTACGCTACACAAGGAGAAGGACTACGACCAGGAGGGACGTGAAATACTCAAGTGTGGATTTAAAATTGGCGGTGGGATCGATCAGGACTATAAAAAGAGCCCCCAGGGCTACACGGACTATGTGAGATTATAATTTGCCAGCAAAATGTTCATCAATCTTTATTAACTATGTGTTTGTATTGTTCCTCCAGGGCATCTATGTAACGGAGGTGCATGAGGGCAGTCCAGCAGCTCGGGCGGGATTGCGAATCCATGACAAGATTCTTCAGTGCAACGGTTACGACTTCACCATGGTCACCCACAAAAAGGCCGTAAGCTACATCCGGAAAAACCCGATTCTCAACATGCTGGTAGCCCGCAAGGGCGTCACCTCAACATAAACAGGGCCTTGGAGCCGAGTCTCCAGTGACTCCAGCAGTATTTAAGCGGCATCTAAACTATTCACTCTACTGCCTCTCATTGCTAAGGATCTCTTTGCCCCTATGAAACCTATCAGATTACATAGATATACCATATATATTATATATATATATATATATATATTCACAAAGTATGCATATCGCGCACATATATATACCCAGCTAAAAAATGTAGCTCATAGTAATGCTTCTCGTTGATTTCGATTTCTTTGCCTCATCATCAGTTGTTGAACGAATCTCTGCCAAGCCCTAGCGCAAATAACAGATTGCCAAATACTAAGAACCGATACCGATCGATATATAAACAGACTCGAATATAAACAATTTTGTACATCCATTCCATTAAAAACCAAAACAGAAGCAAATGACGAACGCAAAGTTGTTGAAAAAGACATTTTACATTCATAGTACATACTTGTGATAAATGCCGTTTACTGTGCGATTAAGTTTTAAATTTGAGTTTTTTTTAATGTTAAATTGCATTTAAATAAATGTTTGCTAAATAAATGTGCAAAATTGTGCTCAAAACTAGAATCTCCTTTAAAAATTTAATAATAAAAAAAGGTTTACTGGTAAACTAAGTAATGTCTCCGTAGGATGACGAACTAGTCCACCTTGACTTCGACCTTAATTACGTGATTGCGCCAATTGGTAATAGCCAACGTCAACTGATGTCAACTAATGATGCCCGCGGTCGTATCAGCCATAACATCCGAGTAAACAACCAGAAAATTACATGACGACAGCGACAGGCCTTTTTTTTTTTAATTACAAAGTACTTTGGATTTACATATACACACTTAAAAACATCAAGAGTAATGGCTACTACATGGAATTTGGAAAGAAATATACACAACTAGACACGAGGAAGAATAGCTACCCGAATTGGCAACTAGACGTGGCAATTCAAGCCGGAATCTGCCAACAGGCGAGGAACTTGCGAGCAGCAGGAACAAAGGCAAGAAAGAAAGGCACTACTTATTGGCATAGCCGTTGGGATTTTGACTTTGCCAGCGCCACGTGTCCTCGCACATTTTGTCAATGCCACGGACAGCCTTCCAGCCCAGCTTCTGCTCTGCCAACTTGGCGTCCGCATAGCAGGTGGCCACATCACCGGATCGTCGATCAACTAGCGTGTAGGTGACCTTCTTTCCGGAGGCCTTCTCGAACGCCTTCACCATGTCCAACACCGAATACCCCACTCCGGTGCCCAAGTTATAGGCGAAGAATCCCGTCTCCGCAATGTTCCGCAGCTTGTCCAAAGCCTTCACATGGCCCTCGGCCAAATCTACGATGTGGATGTAATCACGAACACCAGTACCGTCCTTCGTGGGGAAGTCACTGCCGTAAACACTCAGGCTGGGACGACGACCCACGGCCACTTGTGCAATGTAAGGCATCAGATTGTTGGGCTCGCCGTTAGGATCCTCCCCAATCCTTCCGCTTATGTGGGCGCCCACTGGGTTGAAATAACGCAAAGATACCACGGCCCAGCGCTAAAATGGAGATTATTCTTTAATAGTCTTGATAGTATTACTAAATTATGCCCTTACCTTGTCTGACTTGCACAGATCCTTGAGGATCTCTTCGGTAAAGTACTTTGTCTTGCCGTAGGGCGATGTGCAGTTGCCTGTGGGGTGTTCCTCGGTCACGGGCAGGAATTTCGGCTCACCATAGACCGTAGCGCTGGAGCTGTACACGAACTTGAAGACATTGTTGTCAGCCATGGCCTCCAGCAGGACATTGGTGCCGGTCATGTTGTTGTGATAGTATTGGAGTGGAATGCGACAGGATTCGCCCACAGCCTTCAAGGCAGCAAAGTGGGCCACCATGTCGATTTTGTGCTGTTTAAAGAAAAAAAAGGGGATTTTGATTATAATGCTACTATATGTGTATGCTTTCGAAGGTCAAACAAAAGGTCAATAAATGGATTACGCTCCAATGGATGCATTCCAAACCTGATAAGATTATCAGTTCGAATAAATGTTTATTCTAAAATATACATATAAAATATATAAATAAATGTTCAAGGCTTTCAACTTTTAACGAATATTTTTGATTTAAATATTCTTTGTAGTGGTCATATTTGGTAAAGCAAACTATTATTCATATAAAGATTGCTTGGAATATTCCCTAGTGGGGACTAGTTGACTAATCAACAGTATATATAAACATGGTTATCTATTCCCGGCTCGAGTATAATGGCCTCAAGTTCTCATTGATTTGCTGCAGTACTGCAGTACGTGCTATGGAGCATTCTGTGGATGCCAGCGCACCACAGCCAATTCTGACCTCGTCGCCAAGTAGGGCCGGAGGTGGGGCGTACGCGCTGGTAGTCAGGGTCGATCAGACGACTACGTCGGAAGTGCCCAACCACTTGAGCAAACAAAACAAGAAAAAGCGGCAAAAGCAGAAAAAACATTGCCAACGACTGATAGCGCGCCACCCAGATAAGGGTGATTGAATGCTATCCAAGTTGGCGCTCTTGCCACAACAGAAATACCCAAAAACTGCTGACGTGCCAGTGCTGATGGCGGTCTTACCTCCTGGAAAACGGAACGAACTTGCTCCCGATCGGTAATGTCCACGCGATAGAAGTGCACCTTCTTGCCGGTGATGTCCTGGACACGGCTCAGGGCCTCGGGCAGCTTGGCGGCACCACTGCTGTAGGCATTGCACAGGTTATCCACGCAGATGACGTTGTAGCCAGCGTTGAGCATCTCCAGCACAGTGTGGGAACCAATGTAGCCGGCTCCTCCGGTGACCAAAACAGTGGGTGGGGCCATTCTGCACGGACGGGGGATAGAGAAAGGGAAAATTAGGCCACACGAGCTATATACTAACTGACGTCACGTCAGCAAAAAAAAAAAGTGGCAGAATCTGATTAGAACATAGCCGAAGTCGTTATACTCTTGCAGTTGGCATGGCCCATGAACTCGAAGGGTAATTTATTAAAGATTCTTACAAATATTTTAGATTTCTTGGAAATTTCTTGGAACCACCTCTAGCAAGAGTATAAAGTTTATGGTTTTTTTTTTCAGAAGTCAGAAGAACGAAGAGCTGAAGGCGTGCAAAATACCTGTCTGCTCTTCTCTCGACTAACGGGGCTTTGCCAACGTGTTGGCACCTCTCTCTCACCTGTATTCAGGTAAATATCTGCCTGGCGGTGACCCCCGTTTAGTGATTCAGCTAAACGGAACAAAAAAAATGCGATCTGCCCTTGAAACGCAGATTCCGATGCCCAAAGTAAAGATGCGTACGTTGAGGTTGCAGATGCTAGATGCTGATCCAAAGCCAAAGATCGCTGACCGATCACCGTCGAGTCGAGTCCGAGTCCGAGTGTGTTAACGTATCTTACTTAACCCGTTTCTTGCACTTGTCCGTCTCGCAGAGCTTCTTCATTCATTTGTGCTATTGTGCTTCCTGCTCTGCTCGCCGTCGATTTTTGCGTCTGTTTTGCTCCGCGTGTGTCTCACAACTGATGACTGTTTGCCTCTCTGCGGAGCGAAGCCTATTTAACTTGTTCTGCCTCGGCCAGCTGTAGCAGCTGCTCTTATCAGCCAACGAATGGGTGGCGCGACTATGGGTTGCGCTTATCGTTGAGGAACTATCATTTGCAGCCGGTGTGTATGCTACCTGCAGCCCACAAAAGTATGTGAGATCGGTTGACAAAGGTCAACATATGGCTTTATCAACAGGATGAACTTCCGCATATTCCTAATTGACTTGGGCTTTTTGTGTTATCATTAGTTTTGTTATTACTGTGTTGTTATTGTTGTTGTAAAATCAATAAATCAGGTTCGGTTAGTGATGGTCGGTTATCGATAACACCAGTGTTGGTAAACACCAAGTGACGGTACGTTACGACGTTACCTTGACATTTTAACAATTTTAAATATTAATTTAGGTTTTTATCATTTTTGTAAAGTTAAATTTGCATTTATTTTGAGTAAATAATTAGCGACTCAAATAAATTGCAAGTATAAAAAATTAAAATTATACAGATGGCGCCACCAAATTGTTATTGAATTTGAAGCGTTATTGCAGCCCTGATAACTGAAATTCAAATTTGTATTTAAAATTCCTATAAATTCAAATTAATATATATTCAATAATAGCTTTGATTAAACATAACATTATGTCGTGGCTATCTATCTAAATATCAATATTTTGTATTATATTTTATATTTCTTCACAATCTTATTCAACCTAATTAAAAATGTATTTGCGCAGCAATAACAATTCTCTCAATGAAATGCCCCTATTTCTGAATGAATGTCGAAATATGAATGGGAATGTCGACGTTTCCCCACTGATTACTTTAGTCAATAGCACTTTTAAGGGTTCTTATCTTATGGGGTTCGAAATCGAAAGATTAACAACTTTAGTTTTTTTTTTGTGTTTATTTATTAGGAATTCGGAAATTTATCAAAAACTGTAATTCAAATAATAATATTTTTTCTAAATTATTGTAATACTAATAAGGGATCTTTGGAATAATCTTCAGTCTTGAAATCATTCATAACACACTACTGGGTCGTCACATATTTCAAAGTTGGCGTATGTCTCTGTCTGTATGTTCTTTTTTTCAGATTCTCCGGCACATAGGCATTCACATACACAAACAGACAATTGAGGATCCGGCCCCCGCCAAAGACGAAATCAAAATACACATAACCGGAAATGAGTTAGTTGAACTTCCGTCATCGGTCGCCTCTGGATGGCGCTGGCCTGCAATATATTTTATGTGAGCAACAATAATTTGCACAGTCACATAAAGACTGAGAAGTCTCGTAGAACCGAAGAGGCTCTGTCGCTGCTCAAGTCGTCGTGGAAGTCACATAACGTAGTCTGGTCCATATAGAAGCGTACTTGCTCATGCTTATGCTCTCGATCGCGATCCGGCCTGCGCATATATGAAATTATGGGACGAACGAAACGAAACATGGATATGGTGGGATGACTCAATTTTTCTGGTGGGTCTAAGTGGGTCTCTAAAAAATGTCAGAAAAATATATAGATTTTTAAGATATGCAGAGTGATGGAGGACTGATCTACAAATCGTTTAAGGTATACCTCTCGAGAATCGGATGAATATTGACGAAGATAGTGGAGCGCAGTGGATCATACTGCCCTTTCATGCATTTTTTGAAATTTTTGAAGGGGACCCTCCAGACAATTTGACAAAAATTCTGAAAAAAAATAAATTTGCAGATTTTGATGCAGATTGATGGAGAATTGATCTACAAATCGTTTTATACCTCTCGAGAATCGGATGAATATTGGCAAAGATATAGCCTTCGCAGTGGGTCATCCTGCCCTTTTATGCATTATTTGGAATTTTTGAAGGGGACCCTCCAGAAAATATGACAAAAATTCTGAAAAAAAATAAATTGGCAGATAATGATGCAGATTGTTGGAAAATCGATCTACAAATCGTTTAAGGTATACCTCTCGAGAATCAGAAGAATATTGGCAAAGATATAGCTTATGCAGTGGGTCATATTGCCCTTTTATGCATTTTTTGGAATTTTTGAAGGGGACCCTCCAGAAAATTTGACAAAAATTTTGAAAAAAATAAATTGGCAGATTTTGATGCACATTGATGGAGAATCGATCTACAAATCGTTTAAGGTATACCTCTCGAGAATCAGAAGAATATTGGCAAAGATATAGCTTATGCAGTGGGTCATATTGCCCTTTTATGCATTTTTTGGAATTTTTGAAGGGGACCCTCCACAAAATTTGACAAAAATTCTGAAAAAAAATAAATTTGCAGATTTTGATGCAGATTGATGGAGAATTGATCTGCAAATCGTTTAAGGTATACCTCTCGAGAATCAGAAGAATATTGGCAAAGATATAGGCTTTGCAGTGGAAGGGGACCTTTTGAAGGGGACCCTCCAGAAAATTTGACAAAAATTCTGAAAAAAAATAAATATGCAGATTTTGATGCAGATTGATGGAGAATCGATCTACAAATCGTTTAAGGTATACCTCTCGTGAATCGGATGAATATTGGCAAAGATATAGCTTTTGCAGTGGGTCATATTGCCCATTTATGCATTTTTTGGAATTTTTGAAGGGGACCCTCCAGAAAATTTGACAAAAATTTTGAAAAAAAATAAATTGGCAGATTTTGATGCAGATTGATGGAGAATTGATCTACAAATCGATTAAGGTATACCTCTCGAGAATCAGATGAATATTGACGAAGATATAGCTTTCGCAGTAGGTCATACCCGACCCAAGCATTTCGAGTTTTTTAAGGGGACTCTCCAGAAAATATTATGGCAACAAAAAAAGAGTATTAACGAGAGTTGCAAGTCCCCATAACTCTCAACACAGTAGAAACGAATAGAATTTACTTCGTTAGATTCAATGTAAATTTTTGGTTATCCATCTTAATAAAACCAATTTTCCGCATTATTGTTTTCGCCTGATAACCATCTAGGCTCTGTGAGAAAAGCCCACCCCACATGGACCCAAGCGATAATGCCGGAGCGGGGCACTTCAATTTGGAATGGTGAAAGTGCTGCACTTTTCACATGGCCCTGATCCGTTCGACTCGGAGACCGACTCCGCCGCCTGGGCCACCATAAATGTTTATCACAAATTAAGCAATTTACATTTCGTAGCATTTTTCGCCTGGCAGAACCCGCATATGGCCCAGAGACCCGATCGCCTCCGGTTCGGGGCTGTCATCATTCCCAGAACGGGAAAGTTTTTCAATTTCTAAATTGAAGATATGGAAAATGAAAATGAAATTCATAAAGCACATAAATGTTCATATAATTGGGCTATTATCTATAACTTTTCTTTAGAGTAACTCCATTTATTTATGTTTTTAATAACAATATTTATTGGTTTTTAAATGAAGAGTTGTTTTATAGGCCTTCTTTAAAATCTTAAAGTAGTATTTTTGGAATTTCCAAAAGTTCTTATTATATATACTATGATACTATGATAAAATATACTAATGATAAATTTGTAGAAAAAGTAAGATACTAATAGTAGATACAACATCTACAGATACTACAATAAACACAAAAAAAAACAAGAAAGGAAAGTTTACTTCGGTTGGAGCCGACGTTGACATACCCTAGTAGTTAAGTGGCAGTGTTATTATACGATAATATAGAATAGGATATATAAAATATTGCAAATATTGAATATAGTTGGCCATTGAAGATGTATTAATATCATATAATAAAAATTTTGAATAAGTCTCAATCTTTTTATTTAGCATTTACAATTAATCAGCTACACATGGCAGTAAATAATAATTCGGATATACATATATACCTACAAATAATTACAACAAAAATTAAAACAAACAAAAAATAACACTAAAAAATACAAAAAAGAAAATATTTTTTCAGATTTTTTGGGCTGCTTAAGTGCAACCTATGAGAATCGAGGAGGAGGGCGCTATTTTTTAATTAATTTTTTTTTAATTTTTATTAAATATTCACCAAATTAAAGAAAATTCTTGAACGTTATCATACGCAAAGTAACCGTAAAATTTGACTCTTTATTGCCATACGACCTCTAGGCGCCCTAAAAAGTAGGCAATGGAATTAAAAGTGTTTACATTTCAAAATTTTTAAAGTAGTTTTTCTTTGGAAATTATAGAAGATCTATGGATATATAAGATGTATATATATTCAGAAATAGCCAATATCGTATATAGTTGACCGATCCTTGTAGGAATTTAATTATCAGGCCAATTCAAAATAATGGGAATTTTGATACAAGATTTTCGCATGGAGCCGATATAGATACACCCTTGCAGTTAAGTACGGATATATATAGCAAATATCGGATATAGTTGGCCGATCCTAATGAGAATTTCATTATAAAATTATTTTTATATAACAAAAAGTACGTAACTTCTACCTTAAAAAATGCAAAACTTCCTCTTTGGAGGAGAATCCTGATAAAGAGTATATATATTTTATAAGATCGGAGATGTCTCCTTCAGTGCGTTGCTCACTTTCTACCGAAGTAATAATACCCTCTGCAAGGGTATAAAAAAAACAACTACGCAAGTTCTCGACTTTCCAGTCCTCAGTGATCTCATTTCGTTTTTTTTTTTGGTCGGCTGTCTTCTTACTTTCGAGTTTTGAATTTTTTTGGCAAAACTACCACAAAAGCTTAGATGTCTAGGCAGGGCGCAGGGGAGGAGGTTAATGGGGTGGGGATTCTTTGGCCTAGCAACAGGCAATAAGACAACAACAACAACAACAACAAACCAAAACCCAACTGCGGAGAGCCGGAATGATGAACACGTGTGCTGCTTCTTGCGAGGAAACTCGAATGAATGATATAGGAGTTCAGTGGCAGAAGTAGGATGAGTAGTTGCCCCGAGGGGTGGGACTGCGGCAGCCACAAGTAGAAACTAAAAAGAAGAAGACGACGAAGAAGCCAAGGCAACCACCCTGAACGAAATCGGGGATCTGGATCTTGAAATAGCTAGTAGGGCACCCCTTCATTTTCACACACATTTTACGAGCTATTGATGGCGGTGGCAATGTGCTTATGAATATGAATAGATCGGGGATCGTAAGGCGCCCTACTTCCTACCTGAAAAAACTTTCCTACCTGGTTAACTGGCAATTCCTACCTCTCCTTTAATGGCAACTTAATAAGACTTCTTGCCGCGCAACGGAATGGGGTTAATGCGACAAAAGCGCATTCATGCCACCATAGAAAATTTAATTAGTTGTCTGTAGGCCGCCTCGGGGCATGTTTCTACTTGTATTGTCTGCCGAAATAAAAATGGGGAGAAA